TTGTTGTGATAGTATCAGCTGTTAGAATAGAAAATTTTTCTTATTTATTCGATGAAGATTGGATACAAAAAAAAGTATCAAAATATTATGTATAAATTACGTATTATTTGATAGTATATATTAAATTATATTAAGCGCTCTATAACTAAAAGCATTCATTCTGTAATTAAAGTATTGTTTTTTTTTTTAATTGTAATTTGTTATTTGTCGAAAAAGTGTATTAATGATACAATATTTTACGAATATACAAAATTTCTTATTACATAATTAGGCTAATTTCTAAAATAATGCATTTTATTAAATCTAAGTAATTTTTTTATATAATTGCGTGAAATTTGAAATAAAATGTAGTTCAATACAATGTAATAAATTAATGATAAAGCAGTTGTAGAATATATACTATGAATAATATATACTATATATAATATATTAATTTTTTATAACATCTGAATATTAATTATATAATGACTATGTACAAATTGACATTAAACTATAACTATCTAATTATTAGTAATAAATTTAATATTCTTAATTTAAATAAATTATTTAACATTTATAGACATCACTAGAAGTGAATGCAATAAAATATTTGTATATATTCTTTATTTTAATATTTATACAAATAATAATGGATGTATTTTAATATTTGTAAGCTTTTGAATACACGAGACAATAAGTTTTAAATGGATATGTACATTAAAAATCATAAAGGGTTTTTTGAAAAAAATTGATTGTCGTCTTTTACATATATCAAACAATATCATGGAGATTTTTAAATTATTTGTATGTTTTATTTCGAATATTTAGTTATTTATTTAGTTTTTGTTCTTACATATATAATGTAATATTTTGAATAATGAAATGTGAATAAAGAGAATTACGGGATTGTCTAAATTATGATCCTTTAATTATCATTGTTATATCATTCCACAATTTAAACAATTGCATATATGTATGAATTATAAAAAGACAAGATACTTTCTATAATTTTTGTGACAAATTAGTACTATTTAGACTATTGCAAAAAAATCACTGAAAGTAACTAAAAATAAATTACGTAATGGAAATTTATTTATTTAATTGTCATTGAAATCATTTACTTATAATTTACTAAAATTTAATTATATATAAACAAATATTTATGAAATAGATTTACAAAAATTCTTACATGATATAATAAATTTAAAAAACAGTTATGAACGATGTATTTAGACATTAAGACATAACAGCAGTTAATAAAATTAATACTATTAAATGTCATATGAATTTATATTAAATGTAAATTATTAAAGATTGGTTTTCGCTACATATTCTGCAACTATTAATAATATTATTTAATCGATAACTAAACCTACTACTTATATAATTTAATAGTGTAAATAAAGTAATAAATTAAGTAAAAATATCATTCAGTGTACAGAAATAAAATATTTTTATTATAATTAACAAACATTGGAATAAAAAATTTTTGAAATAAATTTGTCAGAGTGTTTTCCCTTCTCCATTTGTAGTGGCGTGATTACTATAAAGTCCAATTTCTTACTGACATATCGCCTTCTAGACGATATACGTGATGCAATTAGAACTACGCTATTGCGAAGAAAATATATATATATGTATATTGTAACTTAAACTAATGGACGCACGCCCGAATATACATGTATATATATATGTATATTGTAACTTAAACCAATGGACGCACGCCCGAATATACATGTATATATATATGTATATTGTAACTTAAACCAATGGACGCACGCCCGAATATACATGTATATACATATATATGAGTATAAATGCGCTTTCATACTCATTAATTTTTACAATTACAATGCTTCACGATATGAATCACAATATGGATTTTAAACACAAAAATATTAATATTAAAAAAATGAAGCTGAAATATAATCTACTAATGATTTTTATTTTTATTTGCTTTATGTATGTTGTTATTCTTATGGGAATAAAGTTAATTATTAGATAATAACCTTATTAAAAACTAATGACACAAGTTGTACTTATAAAAAATATTAATTATAAAAATTAAAAAAAATGTATATATAGTAATTTAAAAAAATTTTTAAAAATGAATTGATTTTAAATTCAATTCATTCTGATAAATTTAATGCATCAATCTGAATAGTTAAATTATTTACATCTTATTTTAAATTCTTTCAATTTTTTTTTATTCATAAATTTTATTTTTATTTTTGACATTCTTTCTTATTTTAATAAAGATCTAAAATATTTATTTTAGTTATTGAACAGTAAATATATTAGAAATAGTAAAATTATTTATAGGCTATTTAATTTAAATCTATTATCATTTAAATTATATTTTTCTATAATATTTGCCCAAATGCGAGAATATAAATTAGTATTTTCAAGTTCTATACAATAACTTATTTCAATCAATAAAGTATCAAGTTAATTCTTTATGATACGTCATAATATTATTTTATACTTTTGAACAATAGAATCAATTAAAGATAAAAATTCTTATAATAATTCCTAGAAATTTAAAATTAGATAATTCTACAAGAGCTGATAAAATATTAATCAATGAAAATATTTATATCTATAAGACAAAATATTTAGTAAATGTCTTCTTTATAAAAGTATAATTTTATAAATAAGAACTTAAATTTTTGTTTCGGTTTTTTTTAATTAATTTTATATTATTTTCAACATCATTCGGGTATACATAAATTTTTTTCTTAATGATTTCTATTAAAATAAGGAAATTGAAGAAATAATGCTTTTTTCATTTTCATTTGGTCGCGTGTAGCGTGAATTCTCACATAGCTTCCAGTCATCCTTTCAAATATCGGACGTGATTCGATTTAGAACATTCCGATTTAAACTTTCCTTCGTGAATGCACGGGAGTGAACAGAAAGCCTCCCACGTGACATCTTCACGGCAGTAATTTCCGCTTGATTAAGGTGAGGAATGGAACGACAAGATGGAATGAGAGAAAAGGGTTAGGAAAACCAGTTTCATGTTAGAGGATCGAAAAACAGTATCGGCTCACTACTACGAATGTTTCAGACTGATTTCCGATCCTTTAAAGAGCCTTTTGCAACTTGAAAGTCTGGTTTTCCATTTCTTTTCTTTTAGCGTCATTTCATTGTTTTATCGACGTTGCAAAACCGCATGATTAAAAAATAATAATATAAGAAAGTATTCAACTTTGAAATACGAGTTTTCTAATTAAACTTAATTTATAACTAATTTAAAATGTGGTTGGTAAAACTGACATTAAAAAACCATAAACTTTTCTAATTGTTTTTTATTTCAAGAGATTTTTAAAGTCACATTATCGTTTAATTTTTTGAGTGGACTAAATGTAGTTTAAAGCAATTTTATAAAATTTCATATTATGATAATTTCATATTATTTAAAAGTTGACTACATAACATACCATTTATGAAAATATATTATCGTTTAATCCTTCTTACCAATTATTAAATGTCAACTTCAGTAAAAGGAATTCAAAGTAAAGAACTTCATAAAAAACTTAAACATAATTTATTACTATAATAATATATCAATGCAAATTGGGACTTTTTAGTTTTATCATAGTTTTTCTCCTTTATCATCAATTCATACTTTTTATCAATTATTATTTTTTATTATTTTATTTATTAATTATTAATACTATTATTAATTTATTTATATGCGCTTAAGCCCGTTGGCTCATTATCTATGATACAGATTATTTTCTAATTCATTTCTGTTATTAATTTATGCCATGTTACAGTATTCACTAAATTACAAATATGCTAAATAAGAAATATATTTAAAAATAAGTTATTATTTTATATATATTACAATTACATTTATTAAAATTTACAAAAATGTCAATTAAATAATTGAAACCGTACAAGAAGTAGAGTGATAGGAATTTATGATTTAATTCGTTATTTGAGCTGTTAAATATTCTATTTATAATATTCATCTCAATTAGATTCATATTAAAAATATCTTTGTAACATTTCTATTTTTAATTTCATTATTACTGTGAGTACTTTAGTTCTTGCACAACATTTATTCTGAATTTTACATACTTCTATTCTTATACTCTTAACCTAGTCCTTAATTATTCCACTTGTCTTCGCTGCCATACCTATCCAACATTTAGTTACATTATTTGGTGATTAATGGTGATTGGTGATAAATACCTCCTTTCTATTTATCTCTTTTCTTCATCATCTTCATTCAATTGTCAGCTACATTTTTTAAACTAATTAAAATTTTCTGATTCACTCCATATAATTCATAAATTTTGTAAAAAAAAAAAAAAATTTTTAAATCTTTTCTTATTTAAAAATATCATTTTTTTTAAAGAGATTGAATTCTTTAATGAAATGTATTTTTATAGATTTGAAAATTAATGTAATTCAATTCAACATTATTTATTACTATACGATTACTATATAACAGAGTATACAAATACTTAGACAATAAATATTTAAATATTCAAATATATTTTGAACTATATAAAAAAGTATTTCAATGCAATAATAATAGGTTTATTACTTTTATTTTATAAAGTTTGCTTATTTAAAGAAAGAACCGTACAATGTCAGAAATTTTTGGACATAAGTATATTAGAATAATTAATTATTGATTCATATATATTTGAATATTCATATTCAATTCAATTCATATATGAAGGTATAAGAGCATAATAATATAATATAATAAAATATAAAATTTATATAATATTTATAATTCGTTAAAATATTAAATATATCATTTATTAAAAAATTTGATATATAATGTACTATTTATACTTTTTCAAAAAGTAATTAATTTTATTATTAAGTAGTATTAATTAATTTGATTATATTATTAAGTAATCCTACTTTTACTGAACCTTATACTCAATAAAATATTATTACACATTTTATAATTATAAATTAACATTTTTATGTGATAATTATTAATTATACATCTTATTTAATATTGAATATAGTATTTTTTTATCTTATAGGAGATGAAGATGAGTAAAGTGGGAAATCAAACAAATTCACAAGATCCACAAGCTGTGAACTCACGCGTGTTTGTTGGAAATCTCAATACTTTTCAATGCAGTAAAACTGATGTTGAACGTATGTTTCAAAGATACGGTCGACTAGCAGGTACGCAAAAATAATTATTTATTGTATAATACATTGTTAATTTTTGTATAAATTATACGTATCATAATTGAACAAATTTAATTAATTAATAAATTACATTGATAAATTAATTTGCCCTCTTAATTTAAATGGTGTAAGGAAATTTACTGTATATAACAACTGATACTGAATAGAACAACTTGAGTAAATCTGCTGTAAAGTTTTTTTAATATTTGCATATTTAATTAAGAAACTGGTCATAAGTTTAATTACCATTTTCTTTCTTTAATGATTTAGAATATTAATAATTTTAACGAATCAGACTTAATTGTTGCAATAATTAATAAGACAAGAATTAAATCTAAGAGATTTGGTAAAATTACAAATATAATTCTAAAAAATATTCATTTTATTTTTTGTGGCTTTACTTACTTATAATTATCAAAGTCTTTAGTGCTATTATACTTTATATATTTTTAGTAGTCTATAAATGTTCTTTATAAAGTATTCAGGAGCTGTAGTTTACATAAATTCATATTTCAATTTTTTTTCCTCCCTTAATTGTCCCGTTACAGTCTAACTTCTAACCCTTGTTAAAATATAGAGTTCAATTTAAATTAGAATAAAATTAGATACAACTAAATATATAATGTTATGTCGGCAAAATCGTAATTTAGAGACGAATTAAATCAACGGAGATTATGGCTACTGAAGTGATTTAATTTAGAAAGTAATATTAGTTATATCTGTCATTTGCCTCATGATAGTGTTGGTATGTAGAGTATATCCACTAGATCAGTCATGGATTTTATTAATTTATCTTTTTCAGACAGACATGCATAATATAAAAGATAATTTAATTCCTTTATTTAAATAAGAATATAATTACTTTGATATATTACTATTAATAAAATTTTAATTTACAAGGCTTCGCGGAAAAACTGAAGATTTGACTTACCTATAAACAAATTTGGCAATTGATATTTATTTGAAACCATTTGTATACACTTTTGTAGTCACTGCAAACAAATTTCTTTAGTGAGTGAAACAATTCTATTCGATGTCAATTTCACTCTTTGAATTTCTAATGATTCGAATTTCTTATTACATTTTTAATTTGTACATATTTCAAATTTTTTAAGACTATGTTCTTCGAAGTTTAAATCTTAGCCAACTTGTATTATTACTCTCATAGTTAATTCGTTATAAACTCGTATATATATATATATATATATATATATATATATATATATATATATATATATAAATTAACAACATATTAAAAATACCTTTCATGGAATTAGTAATATTTTATATAATCCATTTTCAAAATAAAAATTATTCCAATTATTAATAATAGAAAAATCTTATGTTTCGTAAATTTAATCTTTTTTTTTTTTAATAAGCAATCTGTATAATCAATCGTAAAATAAGTATATATAAGTCATTTAAAAATTCATTATTAAATAAAATATAGTATTAAATAATTTATTATTAAACATTACAAGCTCAAATTATATACTTAATTAAATTATTGAATACGTTACTAGACTAGAGATTCTTATTTTATTTATTATATGGACATTTACATACATGTGTAAAATTTCATACACGTATGTATTTAATTTACATTTTTTTATCTCATTTTTTAGTTGTATGGTACATTCTTCTTTGCTCTTGATAATTGATATGGACCATCAATTTGAAGAAATAAATGCAAATAATATATACAATTTATTAGTTATTTTAAACTATTTTTATTTAAATATATAAATAAAGGTAATCTTATTAAAATTATAAAAAATAAATGACGTCCAAAAAAAAACAGCCTAATTCTCACTTATTTACAAACATCATAAAATGTTAAAAAGAAGTTCCCATGATTTAAAGCTTTTAAATTCCATCTATAATGGGAGCTGTCTGTTAACGACTGATAAACAGCTTATTTTTCCACGTGATACCTTTCAATAAAGTATCCCAAAACAATAAGGATTCACTCGAATAAACATAGATTTTTCAGAAACCTATATTTTTCAGATTTATCATATGTATAGGAAACTTGATAAGCTTCTTGCTTGCGTTAATGAAATGTAATACAAGTAATTATCTCTGTAAATTGAGTGTAAATATTCTCTTATAATGTCCATAATTTGAGCTGTTCTTATTGATTTATACTAGTTTCCGTTAAGTTATATAAAGTATTGGTATCTAAAAAAGGTTATAAAATTAAATCATTACGTTATCTATTAATTAATTGATTAAATAAAATAAAAGAATAAATGAGATGGTCGAGAATATTTCTTTTAACCTATTCATTTATATAAAGAGTATATATCAACTTCCGAATAAAATTTTCTTTGATGATTAATGAAGATTAATAAGAAAAGTTCAAGTTTTTGTTATGTTAATCTGGTAAAACTAAATAAATTCATAAGTTCATGTAATTTTTAATTTAAAGGTAGAAGTTTAATATTTATGATTTAGTAATTCGTGTATGTGATATGTAATCACAACGCATAACTTTTTCTGATACGTTTTAAATTAGTTTTGGAATATAATGTGCATTTTTAGTTTTCATAATCTGAGAGTACATCTTAAATATAGAATATACATCATAGATGAATATGAATTAAGGATATAAAGAAATTATTATATTTATATAAGTATATTTTAATTAATGTTTTGTGAAATGAAATTTTTTATGCTATCATTAAACTAACATCAAAATATTTATATATTTTATATAAATTGTTAAAATATAAATAATAGAAATATTCTAGAAGATAATAATTCTGTACAGAAAATTTATTACATTTTTTCAATTTAATTATTTTTCATTTTTTGTTTTAGGTATCTCTATGCATAAGGGGTATGCATTTGTTCAATTTACAAACTCTTTTGATGCCCGCAGTGCCTGTTTGGGAGAAGATGGTAGAACTATTTTGAGTCAAATTCTTGGTGAGTTTATTTTTAAATTGAAATTACTATATTACCATATAGACTACTTACAACAATAAGAGTAATATTATAAACATGAATTACAAACATTATTAAAAACCAAGAATAAATGTGTAATGAGATAAATAAAATTTATATATTTTTAACGGATTGATAAATCTTTATTTTCGAAGAATCATTTTCATTGTAATATTTTCATTATATATTTTTGAAAAGTAAATATTATTTTATTATTAATTATATTTTTGCGTATGTAGCTGTTAATGAAATGTAGGTATTTCATAAATTATATTTAATTGAAAGGTCAAATATTTTTCATTTCTAAATTTCTTCTATGCCAATAATAATTACGAAACAACAAATAGAAAAATCAGGTATTTGGCCAATTCTGTTGAAATATTCAATTATTATTCGACTATTATTATTGTTAATTATTATATTATTTATGATACTAATACTGTGTAAAAGTATTAAGCTAACGTTAGACAACACATACTAGAATGAATTATCTAACGAACATGAAATTTAATCATTAAGCAACAGCTTGTTTAGCCAGATGCCACTTATGAACGTTTGCAAATTTTCCCCACATCATTACGATTACATACGAGCTTGGTAAATCACGTTAATTCATTTTACTATATTTTATTAATACATTATTCATAATATTCGTTCACTAAGTGTAACAATAATACTACAATGAATTTCAATATCTATGTTTTTATTTAACTATCAGTAAAAACAAATTTTATTTAAACTGTTATTTCTATTTTTATATTTGAACAGATAATGTTTTATAGAATAAGAAATACTAAAGTAATAAAGAACATGAGTTATAAATGAATATTTCTACTTATGCTATTGTTAATAACATTATTTTTTAAATTATTTCTACATAGCACTGGTCGTTAATCGTTGTTGAATTAATTTGTGGCGTTATGAGAATTTAAAATTAAGTAAAAAAAATTATAAATCTATATTTGTAACATTTATAATATTCAAATAATATATAATTTATTATATTGTATTACAATTAAAAAAGATAAGAAAAATATTCAGAAGTTATATTGATAAAAATTTTATGACTACTTGTAAATTACTTAAATCTAGATAAAAGAAGAAACCACATCTTTACTGACATTTTATTAAAATCTTTTATCAATATTTTTAATATTTTATCGAATTAGTCTTTTAAATTAACTCACCGATAGTGATCTACATGTAATATATAATGATACGTATAAATATATGTTTATATTGAAAAAAAATTGACCTTCGTATAACACGTATGTGTGTGTATATATATATATATATATATATATATATATATTTGTTTACTTATATATTTATTTATTTATAGATATATATTTAAAAAGGAAATTAAAAGGTAATAAAATGGATTCGCTTCATATTTTTTTGAGCTAATGCAATAGCTGTGTTCTGGTGAAAACAACCACCGCTACCGGCAAAGATACTATTCGATAATACATCTACCCTTCTCTTCTCTGGTATCCTCACTGTTCTTTATATCCTAGTTCTGTTCTCACCATTTTATCTCTTCACATTCTTTTCTTTATCACACTGTTTCATCTGTTTTGGTCTTTGCTTACAACTTTACCTCAATTTTTTGTTTCGTTTCTTATGTATATTTCAAAGTGAACTCCTTTGTAAAAATATATCTAAATTGTTTGTATAATTTTTCTTCTTCTTTATTTGTTTTAACATATTAATAATAATTTTAGGTATTGAGATATATATATAGAGAAAATTTTTTTATATATATATATATATATATATATATATATATATATATATATTTAAATATCTGTTATTGATTGCTTTTTGTCTTTGAGAATCTTCAAAATTAGAAAAATTCATACTTAAAATGATCAAATTACTTCTATAAAATATAAATATAAATATAAATAACAACATATATGATTCTTATGTTTTTATTATAAATTGTATAATTGTGCAATTGTTGGCACTATAAATTGTATTTCATAATATGAATTTTGTTATTACAAATTGTATTTTTTGCTATAAAATATAAAAAAAATTATATCTAAAAAATCAATTATTATTCAATATATTTCCAGATAATTTTTGAGAAATTTAATTTGTTTTTTTTTTCAATTATTATGCATTATTAATTGATCTACAATTTTTTTTATTTCGATTAGTATTTATTTTTCACTTATTATTATAAATGAAACCTGATATTTTCAAATAAGTTATTTTATTAAATGTATTAACGAATATTTTTTCTTATATTTTATGAATTAACATATGTTAAATATAATTGTAAATCGTTATATAAAAGTATTTATTGATATAGTTCCTAAAGTTATTCATTTACGATGTTATAAAGATTATCAAAAATATTTTCTTTTATAAAGTATAGGATTGTATTGAAGACAATTGATTGCATAACATTCTTATCTTTTTAATTTAATATTCCCATTATCATTAATTTTGGATTATTAATGAGTATATTTGAAAATAATTATATTTAATATCATGTAATATTTCAGTTTATACATAAATAAACTTAGATTATTGAACAATGTGTATGCTCAAGTTTTACTACTATCTCTCTCTCTCTCTCTCTCTCTCTCTCTCTCTCTCTCTCTCTTTATATATATCTCTGTCTACACATCTATCTATCTATCTGTCTAACTATCCATGTATCTATCCATCTATCTATCCACTTATCTACCTATCTATGTATATATCTATGTATCTATTTATCGATGACTGTGTCTCTTACAAATGCATGTACAAATGCCATATATACCCTTCCATCTCTTTTCACATCAGCGGCAGCATCATTTCTGTAAGCGACAGGTGCAGCTTATATAGAATGACATGAGGCAACGTGTTTGCTTCACCACATGTTCTCCCACACTTGTTCTATTTCTATCTGACGTTTCTATTATTACTAGTAATAGTTTTTAACTAGTAAGATGTCCAAATGAAATGATGGACAAAATGTAAATAGAAAAAAATGAATAGAGGAAAGTAAAATATTTAAATAAATTATAATAAAAAAATATAGGCAAATTGTAGAATGAATATGAGTGGAAACATCAACGGATGAAGAAATAAAAGAAAAATAAGATGAAGAGATAAAAATATTTAATTAATTTAACTTGAATAAAATTAGTTCATTTATAATTCTGAAATTTTTATATGGAATTTTTAACATGCAATTTTCAATATTTAAAAAAACATTTGTTTCAAGTCTTAATATTTTTTAATTCTTTCATTAATTTTAATAAAATTTTTAACATTCTATAAAATGAATAATAATTAATGATAAAATATAAGCATAAATTATGAAATAATGCAAAAGATTTTAACCCTCGTTTATTTTATTATATAAATACATGTATACGTAAATATAAAAATTCATTATCTCGCTTACTTATGCAGTACATAAAAATAAATATGGAATATTTCGACATTTTATTAAATTCATTAATTTATAAATTATTACTTTAAAAAATAGTAAATGTTTGCCTTGATAAAATGCTTATAGCTTATATATCGGACGAATTTGAAATGTCATATTACATATACTGGGATTATGAAATTTCTCTTACATTTAAAAATATTCAAATATCATAACCATTAAATGTATCGAATATAGACTAAAATAGCACACGATACAACAATAAGTTATAGGTCATGGTTAGTTCCGTCTCTATGACAACCAATATGCTTAATCGTATGGAGGTACACTTATAAGCCATAAATAAAAATGTATAGCGTGGATGAGAAATTATCGTAAGTTACGGTCTGCTTGCTTGATGAAAAGTTCTATAAAATCCTTAAATAATATTTTATAATATAAATAATATAATTTTTTTTTTTAAACATGAATATTTTGTATTGTACTAATTTAAGTACAATAGTATGTATCCATATTCTATTTTGATTTTCAAAAAAAAATTTTCAAAATAAAATTTGCTTAAATTTTATGAAATTAAACGTGATAATATAATAAAAGAAAATGTATAAAATCAAGCACAGTCTTGAAAAATTAATTAAAGAATTAGTAGCTTTATAATGTAAGTATGTAATTATAATGTATAACAATAAACTAATAATAGTGCATCTAATTGATGGTATAACAATAAAAAGTTTGAAGTAGTGAATAAAATTATGTAAAATTGCAAAATAAATAGTATATATTTAACTAAAAATGATTTATTAATAACCTGAAAACATAAATAGAAAAACATCGTGCTTTTAATTATAAAGTAATCAAATAAATTTACATAATTTGCCTAGATAATTAGCAAGTTTTAAAGCTTCTATTTTTAAAAGTAATAGATGTTGAGATAAAGTGGAACTTTACCTTAAGTTTTCGAGCTTCTTTCTTAATCTGGTGGAATAGGGCTGTTATTACTATCGTTAGTTACTGCTATCGTAGGTCTATAATCATGTCGATATGAAAACATAGAAAAAGTAAGACTCGTAAAGGTTTTTCTTCGGCCATTATTAAAATGAAATAACCAAATTAAAAAAGAAAATTTTATATCTATTATTGATTTGATATTTCTAGTCAATTACAATATCTAACTGACCTTATGTAATTAAATATTTCAGATATTTTATATTTAATATATAACTGCGATTAAATGTCAAAAATCAATCGGAATCGAACAGAACATTTACCTATAGCACTTATATCGTATATTTCAGTATATATTTCTTTTAAGAAAATAGTGCTATTCCTATTATCAATTTAATTAGTTTAACCATTATTTTACATACCAAGTTATAATTTATTTTTGTGCTACACGTCTATGAATATAATAAAATCTTCGATTTAAATACAAAGTAACATAGCGATTTCAATATGTATCATAAAATTATATTGTTCAGCGTATTGCAATGGAAATCAATATTATAATTTGAAGATATTTCATTTTATTCACTATTTAATTTTATTGTTTCCGTAAAATTTTACAATCGGACGTAAGATTTACTAT